CCCCCAAAGGTCTTTTCTCCCGCAGGAGGGCAACGAAGCTGGTGAGGGGTCTGGAGAGTAAGTCTGATGAGGAGAGGCTGAGGGAGCTGGGGGTGTTCAGTCTGGGGAAGAGGAGGCTGAGGGGAGACCTTATCAAGCTCTATAACTACCTGAAGGGAGGGTGTAGAGAGGCGGGGGTTGGTCTCTTCCCCCAAGTTACAGATGATAGGACAAGGGGAAATGGCTTCAAGTTGCACCAAGGTAGGTTTAGACTGGACATTAGGAAACAATTTTTCACAGAGAGAGTGGTCGGGCATTGGAACAGGCTGCCCAGGGAGGTGGTTGAGTCCCCATCCCTGGCTGTGTTTAAGAACCGTTCAGATGTGGTGTTGGGGGATATGGTGTGGGGGAGAGCTTTAGAGTAGGGTCGATGGTTGGACTCAATGATCCCGAGGGTCTCTTCCAGCCTAGATGATTCTGTGACAAGGCTTCCTATAGGCACTGCCTGCTAAAGGTGACAGTGGCTCCTCTCCGACTTCTGTTCAGCCACTTTTGTCCAGCCTGTAAGTGCAAGTAACAAACCATCAGTTTGCCACAAAACTAATGTAGATTGAGGCTGAGTTTCTTATGTCATTCAGACATCAGGCTGAATGTATTACCACAAAAAAAGACCTTGAGGGGCTGGAGCGGGTCCAGAGAAGGGGGACAAAGATGGTGAGGGGTCTGGAGCACAAGTCTTGTGAGGAGCTGCTGAGGGAGCTGGGGGTGTTCAGCCTGGAGAAAAGGAGGCTGAGGGGAGACCTTCTCGCTCTCTCCAACTCCCTGAAAGGAGGGGGTAGCCAGGGGGGGTCGGTCTCTTCTCCCAAGGAACAGGCCATGGGACAAGAGGAAATGGCCTCAAGTTGCACCAGGGGAGGTTCAGATTGGAGATTAGGAACAATGTTTACTTGAAAGGGTTATTACACATTGGAAGGGGCTGCCCAGGGCAGTGGTGGAGTCACCATCCCTGGAGGTATTTAAAAGCCGGGCAGCCATAGTGCTTAGAGACATGGGTTAGTGATGGGTTTGGTCAGAGTTGGGTTGATGGTTGGACTTGATGTTCTTCAAGGTCCCTTCCAACCCAGGCAGTTCTATGATTCTATGAATTGCCATTGTTTTTTGGCAGAGGGATGAATTCCACTTATGATACAGTCCATACCAAAAACCACAGCACCGTATATTACTTGCAGCCCCTAAGTATATTTCTGGTATCATCTTTCACCTGTCAGTGGGAGGAAAGTGTTCACCAGGCTCAAAGATGAAGTACAGCCAGTTTGTAGTAAAGTCTGATTCCAAAATATTTAGCCATTTGCTTGATTTTACTGGAAGTTAGTGAATTCTTGTCTAACTTCTTTGGAGCTGTTACCAACAGTTGCTGATAAGGTTTTTTGCTTTAATACTATTTTTATTCTTTATGAAGATCTACCTTATCAGTGCTGTCTTCTACAAACTTGTTTTCCTTTATGCTTCGGTTTCTACTCGTCAGCAGTTTGATTTTCTCTTCCTGGATGTCCATCATCACTAATGAATGTAGTGAAGTGATTAGTGGGAAAAAACGTGTGCATTGCTGGGATGTGAATTAAAGTAGCAAATAAACTATTAAAGGGACTAACAATTCACACCTCTGAATTTATTTTTTTTTTTTGAGCTTGTTCATACTGCATTCAGTTCATACAGTCATTTCAGTGACTTGCTCTGGAGTTAGAGGGATAACTTCACACTTCTAAGATGAATAAATGAACTTGTTAAAAAGGCTTTTGTCATTTTTTTGGTAGAAATAGAATAGACCAGTAGGGCACGTAATCAAGTGTATTGGAGGGATTTGACACTTATATTTTAATTCCTCTGGAATTCACTATGGAAATGATCGTGTCAGTATTGGAACACCTGCTGTGGTTGCTAGTAAGAATACTTTTTGGGAGTTAAAAGGAACACTTTCTTTGGAGAGAGTAGCTCAGCACTTGTGTCTGTAGTGATACAGGTGGGGACAAGACAGCGCTGTGTATGAGTGATTACTGGTGAATAGGCCAGTTCAAACTCATTTCAGCTTTCTGTTAAAAAGAAAAAAATAAAAATCCTTCCATTATTTTGCTATCCTATGCACTGCAGTAATGTTTTGGAGAGAATTTGTCTTATTTTGGGTAAATCAGATGTTATTTTTCTTACTAAAAATTGTCAAAAGCTTGTGTCTGCCAGTGCAAGCACATTCTTCAGAAAGCAGCATTATTTTTTTTTTAAAAAAATTGTACTATTTTAATAGCTTATGCATTTACGCTTTAATTACCATGATGCTCATAGTGTTTTCCATATTCTTAAGTAATTGATAAAGTCATTGAATTGGGAGGTGGAATACATTTAAACCTATTGTCTGTGAAGGTTTTGCAAGGACCTTATATTTACATCCTCTTTCTTGCCCACCAGTCTTGATTGTATTGGGGAGGCTGAAAGAGGTGGGGTGTTTGGGTATTTTTATAAATAACAATTTTTTATTTTTTATTTTTGAAGGCAATGTCATGTGTATATATTTGCAGTTTTTAAATAAAGAATGGAGTGCATGTTCTGAGTACAGAGTATAAGGAAATTTCATTAATCTGGATCCACGGCGGATGAAATGACTCTCTGCTTAGAATTTTGCCTCTGCTTGTAACTCCTTTTAACTTCTAGGCCTGCCTTGCTGCAAACTTTTGAGGTTTTTATTTGGTGAGATCATCCCTTTCACCAAATGAAGAAAATCGGTTCTCATTAAAGCTTTAGTGAAATTTATAATGTTGATATAATTGATTAAATAATTGAAATTAGGCATCTCTCTGCATGGGTGGCAAAGTGTCTTTTATTTATATTAGAAATGTTGAGAACTGTAACATAATAGCATGGAACTTATGTGTATCTGAACCAGCTCATGCTGACCTCTGTCATCTCATTACCCTTAGAACTCTTAGTACAGCAGATATAAAATATCCTCTGAATCTCTTTTTTAAAAGTTTCATGTCTTAGGTGATGGGCTTCGGGTGCATCATGGATCTACCCCCTGATTCCAGGGCTGTGGGGCAGCTGGAATGATGTGCCCCGGTTCATGCTGGCAGGTTACTAAGGATTAAGGTAGATATATGGAATGTCTGTTCTGTGCAGGAGGGTGTTTAGATTTGGTAGAGAATTTTTTTGTTTGTTTGAGAGCTCTGTGTGTTTGTCTTCTTTTAGATTCTTCTATTATTCCCCCAGCCCGAGACACTGGGTGTCATTTCTTTTATTAGAGAAAGTGGTGACTCACAGAAAAGCTTTGATACTTACTGTGATTCAGGACATGTTAGAAGCAAAGGTTCTTGTGATGGGCTAAATAAAACTCAATTAAAACTTGCAAACAGGTGTTGGTTGTATATAAAGAGTTCGTTAGACCCTTCATGGAATAGAATGGCAAAGGTAATTTCTGTACTCTGACGGTTTTTGACACCGTTACTCATCCAGGACCTCCATTTGTGCTTTGACATCAACTGCTGTGGTGCAACTCAAGACAGACATTTGATCTTCTCCTGTGGTTAATCTTTTATAGACTTTTAAAGTGGCAGTTCTGAAAATTAATAAAGGCTTCTACCCCGAGAGTATTTGGGAAAGAGGGAAGAAGCAAGTTTATGGCTACAGACTATCAATACCAAAAAACATACTGTAAAATAAATGACTCTTCAAGATGTAAATGATGAAGGGGTAGGGAGTGATGTCTGAATCCTGAATTAGCTTATGTCTAGATATAATAATGAGGCACATGGTCTTTCAGGAAAAAAACATTTAATTTTGTCTTTATAATAGGAGAGAGTGGGAATGTCTTTCCTTTTTTTTTTTTTTAAACATATGAAAGTCATTTCACAGCTCTGAGGTTCAGAGAGAGTAGGGGTAAAGAGAGGAGGGAGGAGATGAACAGATGTCTGAGGGGAAGCTGGTATCAAATTAAACACTAGACAAATCAGTCAACAATCTGAGGTTAGAAAGTAAGTACCTTATTACCAACGTGCTTTATTTCTATATTGGTTATAATGACCTATTCTTAAAATATAAGAAGTCCCCCAGCACTGTTGTACTTGCAATGTTATGTTTGTTCAGTGAGAACAGGAATCAAGAAGATCTTTTAAAAAAAAAAAATTATGTCCAGCTAATGCTAACTGGTAAGTTTTAGGCATAAATACATCTTCATTAAGTTCACTTGTAAGATAGTGTGCTCTAATAATAATAATAATACTAAGAAAAATAAGATGATAAGAAGAAACAATCGTGAATAAGGGGAGGGCAATGCCTGGCTTGGTAGACAAGGGCAGGGCAGCAGATACTGTTTCAGTAGGGCTTCCACCACTGTCTCCTGTGAGGACACCACACAAAAATAGGAGGAGTAACTGTTAAGTCCGAGGGTGACACTGCCATCCAGAGGGACCTTGACAGGCTGGAGAAATAGGGTGACAGAAACATCGTGGAGTTTGAGAAGGGAAAGTGCAAAGTCCTGCACCTGCGGAGGATCAGCCCCATGCCCTGGTGTCTGCTGGGTGGCAACCGTCTGGAAAGTTGGAGAACTTTCTTTGTTGGAGAACAACCATTTGGAGAAATGAACCTGGGGGTTCTGGTGGAAGTTCAAAATGAGCCAGCAGTGTGCCCTTGTGGCAAAGAGGGCTGCTGGTACCTCCTGGGCTGCATTAGGAGGAGTGTTGCCAGCAGGTCAAGGGAGGTGGTTGAGTATCCTCTCA